CTTGTCCTTTTCTTTTTAATGTTAAGGTGGGTTGTGTTGCTTTAGACCTGGGTATTGTATGGCCTTTGTCGATCACGGCACTTCACTGCATGCCCTGACTCCTTGTTGAAAACCAACTATCTTCGAAACATGGAGATCGCTCAGATCATTTAGGATCAGAGGAGAGGTTTGCTGTATGACAGGATTGGTGGAAAAGATCATGCTTAGCTAGGTCCGTTTTTTTGAAATCCTGTTGATAACGCAGTTCTTTGTTCCCCTTTAATTGCACAGAAAAATTTACTTTTAACTCAATTTTCCCAATTTCAAAGGTGAAATGAACTGTCCATCAGCTGCCAGCTACAACTCATTGGTCCCGTTAGAGGGGGCCACTGTAGGAACTAGTGGACAAAAAAAGTCCTACTTGCCTTTCTGTGCTAGCTGTCTGCACACAGTCACACACATACACACACAAATACACATCCAAGCTGAAAATCATAACTTTACTATGGGTGTAGACTATATACCCTTTACAATCTGGACAGCTGAGATGGACAGTGAAGTAATATTTATCGCTAATAACCTTGTATCATTCCCCCTAGCAAGTGATAGTATTATTTAAACTGCATGTCATTTTACAGTGCATTCGGCAAGTATTCTGACCCCGTAGGTTTTTCCACATTTTGTTACATTACAGCCTTATTCTAAAATTCATTACATTAATTGATTTCCTCATCAATCTACACACAATAACCCATAATGACAAAGCGAAAACTGGTTTTTAGAAATGTTTGCAAATGTATTACAAATTAATAACAGAAATACCTTATTTACATAAGTATTCACACCCTTTGCTATGAGATTCGAAATTGAGCTCAGGTGCATCCTGTTTCCATTGATCATCCTTGAGATGTTTCTACAACTTGATTGAAGTCCAACCTGTGGTAAATTCAATTGATTGGACATGATTTGGAAAGGCACACACCTGTCTATATAAGGTCCCACAGTTGACAGTGCATGTCAGAGCAAAAACCAAGCCATTAGGTCGAAGGAATTGTCCGTAGAGCTCCGAGACAGGATTGTGTGAAGGCACAGATCTGGGGAAGGGTACCAAAACATTTCTGCAGCATTGAAGGTCCCCAAGAACACAGTGGCCTCCATCTTTCTTAAATGGAAGAAGTTTGGAACCACCGAGAGTCTTCCTAGAGCTGGCCGCCCGGCCAAACTGAGCAATCGGGGGAGAAGGGCCTTGGTCAGGGAGGTGACCAAAAACCCAATGGTCACTCTGACAGAGCTTCAGAGTTCCTCTGTAGAGACGGGAGAACCTTCCAGAAGGACAACCATCTCTGAGGCACTCCACCAATCAGGCCTTTATGGTAGAGTGGCCAGACGGAATCCACTCCTCAGTAAAAGGCACATGACAGCCCGCTTGGAGTTTGCCAAAACGCACCTAAAGGACTCAGACAATGAGAAACAAGATTCTCTGGTCTGATGAAACCAAGATTAAACTCTTTGGTCCTCTGTAGCTCAGCTGGTAGAGCACGGCGCTTGTAACGCCAAGGTAGTGGGTTCGATCCCCGGGACCACCCATACACAAAAATGTATGCACGCACGACTGTAAGTCGCTTTGGATAAAAGCGTCTGCTAAATGGCATATTATTATTATTATTATTATTATTATTATAATTCCAAACGTCACATCTTGAGGAAACCTAGCACCATTTCTACGGTGAAGCATTGTGGTGGCAGCATCATGCTGTGGGGATGTTTTTCAGCGGCAGGGACTGGGAGACTAGTCAGGATTGAGGGAAAGATGAACGGAGCAAAGTACAGAGAGATCCTTGATGAAAACCTGCTCCAGAGCTCTCAGGACCTCAGACTGGGGCGAAGATTCACCTTCCAACAGGACAACGACCCTAAGCACACTGCCAATGCAGGAGTGGCTTTGGGATGAGTCTCTGAATGTCCTTGAGTGGCCCAGCCAGGGCCCGGACTTGAACCCGATCAAACATCTCTGGAGAGACCTGAAAATAGCTGTGCAGCGACGCTCCCCATCCAACCTGACAGAGCTTGAGAGAATCTGCAGAGAAGAATGGGAGAAACTCCCCAAATACAGGTGTGCCAAACTTGTAGCGTCATACCCAAGAAGACTCAAGGCTGTAATCGTTGCCAAAGGTGCTTTAACAAAGTACTGAGTAAAGGGTCTGAATACTTATGTGCATGGGATATTTCCGGTTTTTATTTTGAATAAATGTACAAACATTTCCAAAAACGTGTTTTTGCTTTGTCATTATGGGGTATTGTGTGTAGATTGATGAGGGGGAAAAAAACAATTTAATCAATTTCAGAATAAGGCTGTAACGTAACAAAATGTGGAAAAAGTCAAGGGGTCTGAATACATTACAGACACTGAGTTGTGAGATGTCTTAAGATGTCTTGTGGAAGGGGAGACCAAAACGCTGGTCTCTCCATTCCCACAGTATACACAGGAAATCTGTTTCCTAACGCCAACACACTTCTGAGAGAGAGAGAGAGAGAGAGAGAGAGAGGAGACCTTCCATACAGCTCACTTACCTTCACTCCACCATCCGATTTTTTGTTTAGTAAACTTTTGCATGCTGAAACAGAAGAGGGAGAGGAACAGACGTTAGGACATGACTAACCTAACGTAGCAGGCATTAAGGAAACGCCTGAGTGGGGTCCCCACATCCGGTTTCCAGGGCAAAGGGAAGCTATGTTGAAGATATTGTAACCCTGAAAACCGGATGTTTCTGGTTTCTACCGACCCGCATCAATCAACCTGGAACCATAACACTGTAGGAGAACGTAGGTCAGAAAAGTAGAGGACAGTGATGTCACAAGTCTCTGTGGTCACTGAGGTGAAGAACTGCTCAGGAGTCATCTGATGCTCGAGACTTGGACAGTAAATACTGTAGGGAGTAGGGTATGTACAGTGAGAGCAGGGTGGTAGAACACAGTACCGTTTCCTTTTTAGCATGCCCCACAGACATATTATCACATACAGGTATATGGTCTCGACGCCACACACACTGTACATATATTACAGTACAGTGCAAATGCTCACATAGAAAAAGAAAAATGACAGAGAGAGAGCCACATAAACAGAAAGAGGCACACAGAGACGGACAGAAACACTCAGACACATTCATGATAACCTTCAGTCAGGTTTCAAAGATCCTCAATATCCCAGGGCAAGGAAAAAACACAACATAAAAAATAAATTATCAGTATCTTCATCTTCATATAAAGTGACAACGACGACTGCAGGCAAAAATTGGTCTCAGGCTCGTTTGCAGGTGGTTCATGCGATGTGGTGCTTTGTGGGTCATATCATAAGCTTGACATGCATTATCCACAGCAAACTACAGCTCCCAGAGTGCAGCTCAGTTAAAGAGTGCATCATAGGGACAAAAGGGAGACACCCTGCCTGCCGCCTGGTATAGATTGGATCCAAGCATCTAAAGACTGTATTGCGGTCGTAAGCCGTAAGCAGTATATCCTCTTTCAACCGCTGCAATTAAAATAATTGAATACCATCTATCATCCTTGTGGGAGAGTTGTGAGATCATGATCAGGCGGGAGAAACAAGTCACCAGACAAACAGAAAGGGCAGGGCCAGGGTCCAAGTGTTAGTCAAAGCTTCTGTGGGCGTGACTCATGACCAGCCAATTCAAGCTGCCAGTTACAGAAGTGTGCTTTCTTTCACCCATAGGAAGGTACAGACAGGAAGAAATTAAATGGAGCAAGCAAGACACCAGAGATAAAGAGAGAAAAAAATCTGAACCACCCCGGTGCATCTGGTAACCCATGCAGGCTGGCAAAGGCACAGATACATGCTTGCTGGCTGGAGGTACCAGGCCATGCAGTGGGGCTGTGGGGTATGGGCATAGATAGACTGGGCATCAGCTGGGCATTGACTAGGATCTGTGGATCTTAACTGGACTTATATACAGGCAAATGTAGGGGGTGGGTAATTGATTGCTCGTTTGTTTTTAGAGTTCGAGTCCTTATTAATTATGGCTAAGACTGCCCAAATGTTTATTGACAACGCTTTATTTAGTGGAAAGAAAGAGAGACATGCCCACACTAGCTAGTAGGTAGGCTGGCACACATATTGTGCATGCACACACTGTCCTGTTGTATCAGCGCTGTGACTGAGTGTGCATTAACCTAAGCCAATTCAGGTTATGTTACAGGTCTGAAATCGGTCTGAATAAATGGAGAGAAAGTAAGACCAGTATCTGCGGCAAAGACATGGATAAGGTAAGCCAAATAGATAATGCACCTGACAAATATAATTATTATGGAAAGGTTGTCTGCTATCACACAGCAGGGGTACGGCAGAAGGAGTTAGCGGCACAGCCTCAGGCCAACTGAATATAGCAGACTAACTTCATTTCCTCTCCGACATCTTCCCTGCCTGTGTGAGAGTGTGTGTGTGTGTGTGTGTGTGTGTGTGTCTGTGTGTGTGTGGGTGGGTTCGTGTGTGCGCATGTGTGTGACCATAAAAATGATGGCTATCACCTTCATTTATCATTTCTTTAGAACATCACACAGTTATAATGCATTGTGATCTATCCATGGCTCATGAATACGAAACCATAATGCATTTTGAGTGTCACATTGTCAGTTACCAGTACCTGCCTGCAAAACACCATAAGAAGGCTGTGTCAGGTCTTAAAATCATATGCATGGGCCCATAGAACAATGTATCTTTAAAGCACAGGTTAGTGTCCTGCGTTCTAACCCTTCGGTAGGGCCAACCTTGGTCCATAGTCATGGATCACTCAGAGGGTGTAGTGCAGGCGTGGAGAGGGAGGGGGGGGGTTAGGGGGGCAGCGGGTGGGGTGTGTGTGAGAGGCCACTCTGGAGCAGTACAGTACGTGCCAGGTGGGGCAACCAATGGTCAGTGGCTGGCACCCCGGGCCACATGCTAACAGACCAGGGGGCAGTGTTGGCACAGTGCCAGGTTGCTGCGGCTCCCCTGTCCTGACTAACATACCTTCTGAAGCCAGAGCAGCCGTGCTGGTGGTGGCCGCAGGGCTGGTGTGCTGTCGGCCCACTATTGGACAGAGAGGCATTCAGTTGGGAGGGACCAACCAGGGAACAGGCAGAGCCTCTCTAGAGCACAGTGTCACTTCCTTCTTTAAGATCCTGGCCCCCGCTTCACTCCACTCACCCACCTTTTTCATCTCATGGGGGGGGGCAGATACATACATCCATGGGCTCTAAACTGTATATCCTGCCGGATACCGATACTTAACCCAGTGTGCACACTCAATGTTAGAAAAAACACCTTCAATGGCCCATCATTGTTCACAACCAGTTATTCAAAAATAGCCACACAAAACACTGAGATCGACAAGTGACAGTTATGCGGTGTTATGAAGCAACATTGTACACACAACACTACTTTCTTACGAGCACAAGAGCTCTATGACTAATGTCTGTACTCCACGATAGTGCTTTATAGAAAGGCCTTCAGACAAGGCTGAGACAAGCTCTTCATGTGCTGATAGGATTTCAAATGGTTCTCTGAATGTCTCAATTAGCCAGGATACGTGGGCCATAGAACACAACTTAGTATCCCAGTATTCTTGGGATGCAGGTGGGTTGTGGATTTATACAAGGACAAACAACCTACTCTACACATCTGCAGTTTACAATGGTCCTTATTATGAATGACATTATGTTATTTATAACGTCTATATAACAACAAAAACCTCAACGCATCTACTTAGGACATTTCTGTTTCAGAGACATTATACTGAGTCTTCAAGGCAGTTTCCTCTCTAAGGGACATTCAATCTAAGGTAAGGGCACTAAACTCACTTTCATTACTCAACACTTCTGAACAAACAGTATGTATTATTGTCTATCTTGGGATCATTTTTACTTACTATAACTTAGAACAACACTAATTCCATTCTAAATGCGAACACCCAGATGCCCCCTCACCTGAGAAGTTTCTGGTCACCAGCATGGTGGTAAGGATGGCTCCCTGGGGAAGACACAGAATACAAGGTTAGTGCAAAGGACAGGGGGTGTATACAATCTCTCTAACACAACCGATGGGATATATGTGTGCATTTGTGTGTGCACCCAAGTGTGTGTGTGTGTGTGTGTGTGTGTCTACACACACCTTGAGTTTTCTCCTGGCATTGAACTTGCGCAGGCACTCTACAGTCTCTTGACGATGCATCATGGACGCCACAGTGGAGCGTTGCTGGATTGGGGAAAAGGAGGAGAGGAAAGCAGAGAACAACAGATCAATGAATACACCATCACAGCACCAGTTACGAAGGTATAATGGGGCCAACGTTACCATAATGTAGTACCGATTCCATCCTCAAGTAAAACCATGGTAAATTACATGTAAGTGATAGCCTGGTGATGGGGTGACTTACGCAGACCCATGGGTGCTTGAGAGCCTGGTCAGCAGTGATCCTCTTGGCAGGATTGATAGTCAGCATCTGGTTGATCAGGTTCTTGGCTTCGGGGGTCACTGTGTCCCACTCTGGGGAGGGGAACTGGGAGGGAGGGAGGGAGAGAGAGGGGGACGAGGGGAGAGAGAGAGAAAGAAGTGGAGAAAATGTTAGAGATGCACATTATGTCAATACGGTACAAGGACACACACAGACACAAATACGCACAGACACACACACTCAACACACGCCACAGCACAGTGCTCTTTGTGATGGAGATTTATTGAAATAGTGAGCGCAATGGTAGAGAGACTGAGGAGGAGGAGGTAGTGCTGGTCATGGCGGCCCTTTCCGCTTCATTCGGCCGGCTGCCCCACACTAATACCCTGGCTGGTCCTCATAATCCTTCCGGAGAGTTACTAGGTGCGCAAGCTTTTGCTCCAACCCAGTTGTAACACAACCGAACCTGAATTAGAAGGTAGTTAGTAAGTATCTGGTCAACAGATACTGTAGTTATCAGAATCATGTGTGCTAAATTCGGGTTGGAGCAAAAGCCTGCAAGAGTGTACAGTAGCTCTCCAGGAGAGGGGGTTGGCACCCCTGCCCCAAACCAAAGGTACACGTAATACAAAAGATAGTCCTACTGCATGTATACACATCACAGCATCCTTGTTAGCTTGGGTTCTTCAAGCAGTAGTTTGAGCTGTGTCCCTGGCTGACACAGTGCTGTAGTGTCTCCTTGGTTAGTAACTGCAGAGGGCCGCTCTGACATGATCAATGGGCAGGAAACACAGCTCTCTATCGCAGCCAATTAAAAATGAAGGAGAGTAGAATCTGGACCGGGCCCACTTGGGTCGTTGCGGGGACCTGAAGTGTGTGCGTGCGGGACTGCGTGCCTGCGTGTGAGGAACACTACTCGAGAAAAAGTGTGCACTCAGACAGGCACACACAAACACACACACACACAGAGTGAGGCTCTTCCCCATCTCCTCCCATCAGTGCAGTGTTAATGGCCTGAGTGCTGCTAAAAGCTCCTGCCAGCCCAACCCAACACCACTCCGCTGCTTCCCTACAGCTCTCCCTCCATCCCTCTCACCCAAGGCCTCATCCAAACTTACACACACGAGCGCAAGCAAACACGTGCATGTATGTAAACACACACACAGACACACACAACGACATAAACAGATTGATTCACACAAACACACAAGATATTACTCACTACTCTGAGTCAAGGACACTAACAAGGCACACAAACACTGGGCTCTCAGTGAATTCGACATTGTATAATCATGCACACACAAATCTGGTCTAATCCCATAGTGGTGAATGATAAACAGAGAGAGAGAGAAAGGAAGGTGGTCACTACTCACATCGTAGGCCCCAGCCTTGATCTGTTGATAGAGCTTGTGCTGGTCCTCATCCCAGAAGGGAGGGTAGCCCACCAAGAGAATGTACAGGACCACACCTAACCACAGAACACACACAGGGGGGGTTAGTACACACACACACACACACACACACACACACACACACACACACACACACACACACACAGACAGATATGTCTCACTATACTTGTGAGGACTTTTTGGGGACCAACAATTGATTCCCATTAAAAATCCTACTTTCCCTAACCCTAACCTTAACCCAAACCCCTAACCCCAACCCCAACTCCTAACCCTAACCAGTAACGCCTAACGCGAACCCTAATTCTAACCCTAATTCTAACCCTAAACCTAACCTAAGCCTAAAATAGCATTTTTACAAGTGAGGACCGGCAAAATGTCGTCACTTCTCTGAATTGTAGTTGGTTTACTATTCTTATGAGGACTTCTGGTACTCACAAGTACAGTAAAATGTGTACACACATACACAGGTTGGAGGAGTCACTCACCACAGGCCCAGATATCCACTGGCTTGCCGTAGGGGTCCTTCCTCAAGACCTCTGGAGAGAGGTAGCCCGGAGTGCCTGCAAAACCTACAGCAGCAAATAACGTGTCAAAAAGAATAAAACCACAAAGTCTAGGATCTAATGTAATGACATTGCAAGAGAAGTGTACCAACACAGCATTCCATCAAAACCCCCTATCATCCCCATTCAGAAGAGCTATATTAATGAGTAGTAATAAGATCCAACAAGATGGAACCAGCCAGTGGGCACAGACTTCTGGCTCATTGGCTAGATAAGACCAAGTCTGCTAATTTGGAGCTTTTTCCTCTACACTGATCTAATAAACATCTATTAATGCATGTGGGCACTCAGCCAAGGCCCGCTGGCCCGTTTCTCTCTGGGGTGTGGTGTAAGTGACAGGTTCAAACAGCTCTGTCTGGAGAGATGGACACAGGGGGGTCAAATCAAATAGTCGTCAGATTAAAAGGTGAGGAGCCCTACTGTCAATACTGCACAACCTCTGGGCCCACTACTTTCATGTGCAAATGCCAAGCGACATTATGCCAGTGAGGGAGAGATGGAGAGATGCTAGGCAGAGCAATGGACGGAGTGGAGGGATGAGCAGAAGAGAGGGTGGTGCAGTGTATCCTCTGCGTTCATTTAAGTGTGGCGCTGCGCCACGGGAGAATCATTGCCGCCACTATTTCTACCAAACATAGTTTCAATAAAGTTCTGTAAAGCACATTAGGTTTAACTTGGTAAATAGATAATCTGTCTGGGTTCAACACAGTTCTGAAGGTTATTTAGCTCTGTGAGCTGTGGCAGGCAGCCTGCAACTCAAGAAACACAGCGCGCCAGTGACCAGTGCGCGAGTGACCAGTGCTCGATACAGACTCTCTGCGGTGCGAAACAGAATTCACTTGAATCCCTTCAGAATGCACCTGAGCGAGAAACGGCACGCCTGGGACCAGTGCGCAATACAGAAGCTCTGCGGTGCGAAACACAATTCACTTGAATCACCTCAGAGTGCTCCTGCGTGAGAAACTGCAAGAAAGGTACGTTAGCTTGTTTGTTTGACTAACGTTAGCTAGCCAACTAGTTAACTACATAAGCTAGCTGTAACCTAAAAACTATCATTTAGATCTATAATATTGCTGCCACAATTTTAACGGCAATTAGCTATCCAATTTCCACAAGTATGTTGATGATAGAAACATGGTTAACTAACGTTACTAGTCTAGCAAGTGTAACAGTGTTGCTTCCGTCCCTCTCCTCGCCCCTACCTGGGCTTGAACCAGGGACCCTCTGCACACATCGGCAACAGTCACCCTCGAAGCACCGTTACCCATCGCTCCACAAAAGCCGCGGCCCTTGCAGAGCAAGGGAAACAACTACTTCAAGGTCTCAGAGCGAGTGATGTCACCGATTGAAACGCTACTAGTACGCACCGCTAACTAGCTAGCCATTTCATACCGGTTACACAAGTTAGCTAGCTAGTTCATTTGGAACTGTAAGTGCAAGCAAGATAGCTACATTTAATGTTATCTGTCTTTGATTTGATTTTCTCAGATGAGTATATTGAAATATTTCCAGCCACAGAAGTGAAAGAGAAAGGGGGACAAGTGTCAGGTAACGTTAACTTAGCTAGCTAACGTCAAATCAGCCTGAATTAAATGAAACTTTCTTTAGTTAGATAACTCTTTAAAAGCTAAGCTATCGTTTTTATAACAAGTATATGGCTTACTTTACTAGACAGAGAAGAGGCAGAATCCCGGGAGTGAGGTAGGGATGCATGAGGGACAGAATGGAGCAGAGGAGAGGAGAGACCCAGGAGGGGAGGTGGAAAGAGCAAAGGAGAGGGGAGAGCAGAGTGGAACAGAGGAAAGGAGAGAGCCAGGAAGGAGAAAAGGAGAGAGGAGAGCAGAGAGAAGGAGAAGAAAGAGGAGTAGATAAAAGGAGATGAGAGGAGGAGGAGAGAGGAGTGAGGCCAAGTGTGCACCACCGGCAATCCGGATGGGACCCAAAGTGGCTTAGAATTGACAGACTGAAGCCATGGCTATATAATACGCCACATGGTTAGTCAAATTTCCTTTAATTAGGCTAAGGGCTAAAACATTTTTTGCATATTTAGTCTGTACTAGTCTACAGCATTATGTGTTTATTTCTGAGCCAACTCCACCAGGACCTCGATGACCCAGTGGGTCTTGGCGCATTCAACATCAAGGAGGAGGAGGAGAGGAGAGGGAGAAGCCAAGTGGAGAAGACCAAGACCAGGGAGCTGTTCTGGGCTCGGTTCAGGTAAAAACATTTGTTTTCAAATGCTGTGATGAAACCAATGTTACATCATGTGTGTTGGATAAACTAAAACAAACAGCTATTAATCACTTATTTTCGGTTTTGTGCTGTAATTAGGTCATGGATCCATATCTTGTTGGCCTCCAGGACAGCCTAGACCGGAGGTTCCAACACCTGGAGATTCTGGGGGCCTTCAGTGTGTTGGGCCCTCAGGCTGCGTTCTCTATTGAGAGGATAAACACCTTCAACCTGACCCTCCTCTCCAGGCAGTTCTTGCAAGCGCCAGAGGCTGCTGTGCTGCAAGAGTGGCCCTCTTACAAGCAACATGTGCTAGTTGGATCATTCAAGGTATGGCATGAGTGTGACAATCTTTTGAAGATAATATTTTAGGCCAGTGTTGTCCAACCCTTTTTCCTGCTGAACTACCACTCTGTTGGCTCTTCTTTAATGTTGTACATCTTTTAGTTTTTCATGTATTTCAGGGGTTGGACCAGCTGACGGCAATGACAAAGCTGGCCTCGCAGTTTGATGAGTGGGGCAGTCTACCCCTGCCTTAGCCAGCTGGCTGCAATCGCACTGACTATACCAGTGTCTTCCGTTAATTGTGAGAGGGACTTCTCTGCAATGAAAAGAGTAAGAACATTTAAATGTGAAAGTAGATCCTCTTTGTCCCTCTCCCTTCTCTTATTATTCTTTCTCTTATTGCAGGTCAAAAAAGACTTGAGGAACAGACTGCAAGGTGAGCATCTAGCCGCCTCTCCATCAACGGTCCCCCCATCAAGGAGCTCAATTACAGGAGGGTGTTGGAAATCTTTTTCAAAAAGCCCAGAAGAATAATGTGCTCTGACAAAGGCTGTATACTATGTCTGCACTAGGTTTTGTCAGAACCCTCATTTTGTGATGAACATGAATTAGTGGGCTCTAATTCATGTTCAGTCAAATGTTCCTCTGTTAATTTTTTCAAGATAAACTTTTTATTTCAGAAAGAAGGTCTCTTGTGTTTCTTTAGATAGCTGCAGCACTCAAACTTAAATTGCATCCTGTATACTATAATCATACATTATTGAGCTAATTTCTGGGGATGGAACTTATATTTTAGATGGTTTATTGGAGTTCTTTCCTTTTAAAAAGTCACCAGAACCAAGCTTTTCAGTCCTTATACATATTTTGTTTTGTGGGGGAGGACCCCGGAACCCCCCTTCCTTAACCCAGAGGTGGCAGAAATAAGTACTCGTGTTGGGGTGTAGAGTTGGAGCATAGCCTGAAGGTAGGGAGAGGCAGTTCCTCTTGCTGCTCAGTAGGCAAGTACCATGGTCTTGTCGTGGATGCGAGCTTCGACTGGAACCCAGTACAGTGTGCGGAGGAGCGGGGTGACATGGGAGAACTTGGGAAGGTTGAACACCAGGCAGGCTGTCGCGTTCTGGATAAGTTGCAGGGCTTTGATAGCACAAGCGGGGAGCCCAGCCAACAGCAAGTTGCAGTAGACCAGACGGGAGATGACAAGTGCCTGTTTTAGGACCTGCGCCGTTTGCTGTGTGAGGTAGGGTCGTACTCTACGGATGTTGTAGAGCATGAACCTGCAAGAGTGAATCACTGCTTTGATGTTCACAGAGAACGTCAGGGTGTTGTCCAGGGTCACGCCAAGGTTCTTTGCACTTTGGAAGGGGGACACCATAGAGTTGTCAACCATGATGGAGAAGTCTTGGAGCACGGCAGGCCTTCCCAGGGAGGAAGAGCAGCTCTGTCTTGTCAAGGTTGAGTTTGAGGTGGTGGCCCGACATCCAAGCAGCGATAGGCACGGGTGTCAGAAGGGGGAAGGAGAACAGTAGTTGAGTTTCATCCGTATAGCAATGATAGGAGAGACCATAGAGAAAAGAGGGCCTAGAACTGAGCTGGGGGACACCAGTAGTGAGAGCACGTGGTGCAAACACAGATCCTCTCCACGACACCTGGTAGGAGCAGCCTGGCAGGTAGGATGTAATCCAAGAGTGTGCAGAGCATGAGACACCCAGCCCTGAGAGGGTGGAGAGGAGGATCTGATGGTTCACGGTGTCGAAGGCAGCGGATAGATCTAGGAGGATGAGAACAGAGGAGAGAGAGTCAGCTTTGGCAGTGCAGAGAGCCTCCGTGACACAGAGGAGAGCAGTCTCGGTTGAGTGACCTATCTTGAAGCCTGACTAGTTAGGGACAAGAAGATCGTTCTGAGAGAGATAACGAGAGAGTTGGTCAGAGACAGCATGCTCAAGTGTTTTGGAAAGAAAAGATGGAATACCGGTCTGTAGTTTTTGACGTCAGAGGACAGGAAGTCTGAAGACTGACTTCCTGTCATTGTACATCTTCCATCTTTGTCATTGCTAGCATGACTCTTTTTATGTAATGTAAATGTGAATGTTTTAAGTCAAACTCTTACCGAACCATGCCTGCTCGTCTCCCTGCACCTCGATGGCCAGCCCGAAGTCAGCCAACTTCACCGCAGCTCCCTTCAGCTTACTGGCCAGGAGCAGGTTCTCTGGCTACAGACCAGAGCCAAACCATAGAGGGGAGACAAGACAGACAGAAAGATAATCAATCAATTAGGCAAAACTAAATGAAGAACAAACTCCTTCAAGAGTCTATAAAGGCACAGACAAATTTGAGTCATTCAACTAAACTGTGAGGTCCATGTACGCTGACCGCAAAACATGACAGGAATCGGGATCAGAAAAGCCATGAAAAAACCAAGGTGAAAAAAAAACAGTGTGTCAGAAGTGGGTGGGCGTACATGTAGTGTGCCTCTGAGGGTCAGAGAAGGTGAATGTAAATACCCCTGGGGTGTGACCTTCAATCAGTACCTATGGGGGGCTGTTGGGAGGGGGGGGATAGGAGGGCAGGGGGATAGGAGGGGACAGGGACAGGTGGAGGGGGGCTGTGGTGTGACCACCCCTGGGTTTAGGGCCGTGTGCGGTGCCAAGTGCCCTCATGGCCCCGGCTTAGTTTGATTGATTCTGCGACGGAAGCGTGACACTTTTGCTAAGTCTTCTCTGTGCGCTCTGTCTCTCTTCTCTCTCGCTCTCTCGCTCTCTCGAGGAGGGATCATGGTAGGAAAGGAGAGAGGGAGAAAGAGAGAGAGGGAGAGAGAGAGTTCAAGAAAGACAGGGAGAACAGAGAAAGAGAGATAAAGAGAAAGGACAGAGCGAAAGCGAGTGTAGACAGATGGAGGAGAGCTAAAAAGAGACAAAGAGAGAGAGAGATTACACCCGTCGTGATGAATTAGAGGTGGCATAATGAGTCCCCCTACAGTCTACGCTGGCGCTGCAGCAGCGGGACATCACACAGGTTTCCATGGCAACCGAGCTGCCGCCAGCCTCTCTCTCGCCCCCTTCGCTCTTCCCTTGTTTACCTTCAGCCATTTGGCCTCCGGAGATGCCATGCAGGCAGCCAGCCTGTGTGTGTGGTGGGGGGGTCATCTCTCAGCTTCTCTCTTATTCCCCTCTCTGTATGTCTCACTTTTCCTCTTTATTCTTGTTTTTTACATTTCCAAAGGACATAGCATAAAACATATCATGGAGTGGCATGAGGCCTTACTCCATGGTAACAGTCCTACACACACATGCGTACACACACACACACACACACACACACACACACACACACACACACACACACACTTCATTAATTATTTCCCCCTCACTTACAGCTGGTCTCTGCAGTGGATCTGCTGGCAAAAGTAGTTACAATGCATTTGACTTATGCATTATGGAACACCTCCTAGCCTGCCAGCTGAATGACGGATGGTTCTACTGGTACATGTACTCAGAATAATGGTGGTGATACAAGATGTAGTTGTAGTAGTATTGGTAATAATGCTTTCAGTGCCGTGATTGTAAGAGCTATACGTTCAAGAGGCTCACAGTGATATTCAACACATCTTGTTGACTAGAGCATGTAAACGGTTTTCACCTTTCAAACAAAAACTAAATAACTCTTTGAAGTGTGTCCTATTGTTAATATTGGAGTGTGGTGGTAAGTATCACCAGGCCAGCCAGCATTGTGTCTATTCACCGTGATGTCACCCTGGCTATAAATAGCAGTCAAATGGTGCTCCGTCTGCTTTCGTCAGATATGGAGAGACAGAGGGAGAGAGAGAGAGAGGGTGAGAGAGAGAAAGAGAGAGAGAGAGACGGGCTGGGGAATGATAATCACCTGAAACACACTGTCTGGCTCAGTGCCTCTACATTTAATTCCAGTCTGACGAGATGGAAAGGGTCTGTTGTTTTTTGATCAGTCACTCTCTCTGACGTCCAAAGAATTGTATTTTTTTATTTGCTTACGTGTGTGTGGAATTCTGTGTATGTTTTCATTGGCTTACGTATACACGCATGTGTGCATATGCGTCGGTTGGGTTGCCAGTGGGGGGGATTTGGGGGGCGGGGGCATGATGACGCAGCCCCCCCAGGTGTTGTGTTGCCATGGTGATAGATGACTCACCTTGAGGTCTCTGTGCACAATGTCATGCTGGTGCATGTGGTGGACACTCTCCAGGATCTGATTGATGCACTGGCTGCAGAGAAAGGAGACACAGGATACAGAACACACACGTCAATGCACAGACACATCACAACCACCACACAATACACAGTACGGAGCAGGCATGGTTCAGAAACTACTGGTTTATGGATCAGATGAGGTGAGTTTCCCCTTGTCATTTAAGCACTTTGAGCACTTGCAGGATTGCAAAATCAATCCAATTCATGACTATTGCTGTTTGTTATTATTAGAAACAGTGAACTAGAACTACAGGCTGAGAGAGAGGCAGACAAAGATAGAGTCAGAGATAGTGGGCCTCCCGAATGGTGCAGCGGTCAAAAGCACTGCGCCACTCGATCCCAGGCTGTATCCCAACCGGCCGTGATCGGGAGTCCCATAGGGCGGCGCACAATTGGCCCAGTGTCGTCCGGGTTCGGGGAGGGTTTGGCCGGGGGGGCTTTACTTGGCTCATCGCGCTCTAGCGACTCCTTGTGGCGGGCCGGGCGCCTGCAGGCTTACCTTGGTCATCAAGTGAACAGTGTTTCCTCCGACACATTGGTGCGGCTGGCTTCCGAGTTAAGCGGGCGGGTGTTAAGAAGCGCGGATTGGCCGGACATGTTTCGGAGGACGCGTGACTCGACCTTTGCCTCCCGAGCCGCTGGGGAGTTGAAGCGATGAGACAAGATCGAAAAAGGGGGTAATATACATTTTTTTAAATGATATTTTTTTGTTGTTGAGTGAAACAGACAGAGAGAGACTGAAAGAGAGCAAATAGGGAGACAAAGAAAGAGAGAGGAAGAGCAACTGTGCAGAGGATTCTGTGTGGAGCCAGAGGAACCTCGCTAGCCTCAGCCCTTTCCCCCAATGGTGCTGTTTTCTATTAAACCAAAAGCCTGCGAGACAGTAGATATATTAACCATGTCATATCCTCCCCACAATCTGTCTGGACACACACACAGTTATATTCCATCTAGATGGGCAAATTTTAAGTCACACTGAAGTTGGTGCTTTTTGGCCCTACTCTACACATTGCCGGTGCCAAAGTAACTTATCTGTAGTTTTGTAAGGTCTGTGGGTAAAACAGCCCCCTACTAGGCTAAATGGTGAATAAGGTCATTATCGACTTGAAGTGGGTTTGATAGTACATGGTCTGTTTCCTTGTCTTTCCCACATGAAAAATACTACAGTTTACTACAGAATAATACAGTACTTACTATAGAATGCTGTAGTAAACTGTAGTATACTGTAAAATACTATACTACACACTGTAGTATCCCTCGATCATGTGTAGTACTTACTTTAGAATGTATTATACTGTAGAATACAATAGTGAATACTACAGTATCATCGAAAAAAACACTGTAGTAAATACTACTACAGTCCACAAAAACACTACACAGTAAATATAGTTATAGAAAAAAGCAGAAGCGCTGAACTATCCATTCAGACCCAGTCCTAGCTACATACAGGTTATGGAAAATGTGCTATTTTAGTATTTCTAAAGTAAGTTTCCTCAAGGAGAATGCCTCTAAATGGGGTATTCTAGTAGGTGCCAGGCACACTGGTTTGTGTCAAGAACTGCAACGCTGCTGGGTTTTTCATGCTAAACAGTTTCCCGTGTGTATCAAGAATGGACCACCACTCAAATAACATCCAGCCAACTTGACACAACTGTGGGAAGCATTGGAGTCAACATGGGCCAGCATCTCTGTGGAATGCTTTCGACACATTGTAGATTCCATGCCCAACAAATTGAGACTGTTCTAAGGACAAAAGGGGGTGCAACTCAATATTAGGAAGGTGTTTTGAATGTTTGGTATACTCAGTGCATACTACAGTTTTATTTTACTACAGTATTTATACTATAGTTAACTGTAAATACTACAGTATACTATAGTATACTGCAGTAAATACTACACTATTCACTGTACCGCAAAAACACTACAGTGAATACTATTGTCATGCCCTGACCTTTTAATGCCGGTTGTTTCTCGTTGGTTTGGTCAGGGTGTGAATTTCTATGTGTATATCTATGGTGTGTATTTCTATGTGGACATTCTATGTTTGTAGATCTATGTTGGCCGGGTGTGGTTCCCAATCAGAGGCAGCTGTCGATCGTTGTCTCTGATTGGGGATCATACTTAGGTAGCTATTTTGCCTACCTATGTTGTGGGATCTTGACTCTTGTTTGGCTTGTTTGTGTGTAGCCATTGTGAGCTTCACGTTACGTTGCGTTTGTTGTTTTTGTCGTGTGTTAACTTCGTGAATAAACATGTATGCATTCCACGCTGCACCTTGGTCCAATCCTGTACTCAACGAACGTGACAACTATAGTAAAGTCTGCAAAAACACTACAGTGAATAGTATAGTATTTATACCATAGTATACTATAGTATTTTTTAATATGTGTTGGTTCAACATTTATTTATACTCTGTCTTTACACTCTCTTACACATTGTATTACTTAAAAAAAGAGGCTGCTATGTGCTGTGTTACATCAAACAAGCCTTGAAAGCAACATCCCCTTTTCATCTAGTCAGACTGGATTTAAAAGTGGAGGAAGAAGACGAGAAGAGGGGATGAATAATAAAAGAAGGAGAGAGAGAGAATAGTTGATACTATGAGAGACAGGGTCCCAGGGGGCGTGGTACTCATGAAATATCCTTTCGTTCAGAGTAATCAGGAGAAAAGCATGTATTGTGGCCAAATTTGGCCAAATCTGTGCCCTGCATTCCATTCCATCCCACTACACAGGCACCAGCACTGCCATTCCCAGTAAAAGTCTTCCTCTCTCTCTTTCTCTCCCTCTCACTCGCTCTCTCTCTCTCCTTCTTTGTCTCAAGGAGGCATGTGTGTACACACACACGCGTTTCCACCCGTTTTTCTCCTTCACTCTCCTCTCTCCTTATCTCAACAAGAACTCATAGTTTACATTTACATTTTACATTTACATTTTAGTCATTTAGCAGACGCTCTTATCCAGAGCGACTTACAGTTAGTATTGTTATTTTATTTTTTTCATACTGGCCCCCCGTGGGAATCGAACCCACAACCCTGGCGTTGCAAACGCCATGCTCTACCAACTGAGCTACATCCCTGCCGGCCATTCCCTCCCCTACCCTGGACGACGCTGGGCCAATTGTGCGCCGCCCCATGGGTCTCCTGGTCGCGGCCGGCTACGACAGAGCCTGGATTCGAACCAGGATCCCTTCGAAATTCTACGTATTATTGATGAACGTCTATTTTTGACGCAATAATTCTGTGTGGTTACAGGGTTAATACCGTACGTTACAGGGTTAAAACAGAAACAACTCAAAGGTTAACAGTTTAGGCATTCAGGTTAGGGCTATGGTTCGGGGAAGGCTCTGCAAACCAACTGACCTCATCCCATCAAGTATCATCAAATATTCTCACGGCTTGCTAGAGCATTGTAAACTGCCATAGAGCAGTGGCCTGAGCAGTGTGCTTCGGCACTGAGCATAACGAGTGCTGAGGAAGGCATATATCGACATTCTCTGGACCTTTTCAAATGTCCAACATCGAATTCTAGTGATTAGGCTGCTTATCTAGCTTACACATTTTCTCACTCTACCCCAAATTCTTTATCCTCCCTCCTTGTCTCCTCTCCTCTTTTTCTCTCCCTCCTTCACCCTCTGGCTATCCAGTCTCTCTCCCTGTTCATCTCTTTCTCTATCACCCCCTCTCCTCCCCCTCCTTTCCCTGTACTTGTGAAAAGTCATACTCCCGGAGGCATTTTGCACCCTATCATATTCTCTCGCATCCCATTTTGCTTGATTAAATGAGCAGCTCAGGCAGCGTGGTTGAGCCCGGCCCCAGATTCTGTCCTGGAGAGAAACTCTTCGCAGCCAGAACAGAGCCATGCAGGCCTCTGGGCCAGAGCCTCCATATTGTCCACATACTGTCTGCCTTCCCCCTCTGACAGCCACACTCACCCCTGGCCCACACTCTCTTCCACACAGCCCATGTGCACACAAACACCCTGCCAGGACAATACTCAGCCTAGGGAGGAAAGCATGAGTGTGGAACTGTATAGTTATATACAATGTCAATGAACATTATGTTCCACAGGAGGTTGGTGGCACCTTAATTGGGGAGGACGGGCTCATGGTAATGGTTGGAGCAGAATTAGTGGAATGGTATCAAATACATGGTTTCCATGTGTTTGATACCATTCCATTCGCTCCGTTCCAGCCATTATTATGAGCCGTCCTCCCCTCAGCAGCCTCCACTGTTATGTTCATACGTGCAAAGGTCTCCAAAAAACATGTTATGGTACAGACACAGTTGGGTGATGGCACAGACACAATTGTCCAAGTGAAGCCTAAACAAATTTAGGCTGCGGAGCAACAGATGTAGAATGACAGTGTGCACTGTATGTGTGTGCGTATAGTAGGAGTGTGTGTTTTAAATATGTGTGCATATGTGCACAGGGGTGTGTGTTCCCACCTGGCATCAGCTTCACTGTAATACTCTCTGGCAACAATGTCTTCAAACAGCTCTCCACCGGTGACACTGGAAGGAGAGAAACAACAGCTTAGTCGACACATGGACACCAGTCTGGAACCATGATGGTATGATGGCACACATCCAGTCTACCAGAGCCACCGGGGAACACAGCCCAGAGAGAGCATGTTCCACTGGACACACAAAACACACACGCACACACACGCACACACACACAAAAGTATGGTTTATGCAAAATACAATTTTGTGTAATTAAGAAAGTGTTTTGGTAGAGGAAGAATGTTACCAACACTTGGGGCTAGGGTGTTAACCCCTCTCTGGAATGCCCTGTAGTTACACAGTGCTATCTGCGTGGTGACATGTCACCCTGTCCTCTCACGCTATCAGAACAGTCCCACTAGACCAGGGGTGTCAAACTCATTTTGCCCTGGGGGCCGCATTAGCTCTTCAACGAGGTCAAAATTAGAAAAAAATTATCCTCTATCCATCGTTTTTAGAATTTTCTATTCTCCCTGACTGTCTAGCTTTTAATTTCAGTGATTATTAGCGAGCTGGACAAACACAGTCAAGTAACTGTATAAATGTAGGGCCATTATCATACACAGTTTCAATTTGGTTTGAGTCATTTTAAAGTATATTGACTTTGTCCCCCCCCCACAATTCTTTATATAACTCAGCAAAAAAAAAAAAACGTCCTCTCACTGTCAACTGCGTTTATTTTAAGCAAACTTAACACGTGTAAATATTTGTATGAACATAACAAGATTCAACAACTGAGACATAAACTGAACAAGTTCCACAGACATGTGACTAACAGAAATTGGATAATGTGTCCCTGAACAAAGGGGGTGGTGCAAAGCTGTCATCAAGGCAAAGGGTAGCTAGTTTGAAGAATAACATTCATTTTGATTTGTTTAACACTCTTTTGGTTACTACATGATTCCATATGTGTTATTTCATAGTTTTGATGTCTTCACTATTATTCTATAATGTAGAAAATAGTAAAAAGAAAGAAAAACCCTGGAGTGAGTTGGTGTGTCCAAACTTTTGACTGGTACTGTATATATATATATTAATTTTTTTACGTAAACCACCCACAGGCTGGATTGGACCCCCCGGGCCGTTTGTTTGACACACCTGCACTAGACTGTGCTCTACAAAGGACTCTCAGTCTACACCACTTGACCTGCTGATAACCATACACACTATCACAGCCTCTGGAGTACAATAACAAACTATGTATTACTGAAACTAAACAAAGGAGCATTTCTGATGGTTTTGGGTATTGGATGTATTAATGATAATATATGGTCATTTAGCAGACTTATAACACCAGAGAATAACATGTGGCTTTGATTGCTGCATAGGCCACATGTAATGGCTATATGTAATCATTATAAGCACCTTTAAGTATGAGAGTTGTGAGAGTACATGGGCCAGAGAGAGCAGTGGGACTGGCTGACAGGTATCAGTATACTCACAGGTCAAAGACGAGGTAATGGAAGCCTTCCTCTGAGATACTTTCGTGTAGTCGTACTGTGGGACAGACAGACAAACAGCCAGACAGACAGAGAAATAGAGAGAAAGTTAAAGAACAGTCAACACGCACACAGCTCTTATCCCCTTATCTCTCGCCTCGCCAATTCCTCCTCCGCTTCCCCCCTGAGCCCCAGGGACGCACTTAGGACAGTGAGAGCTCGTTTGTGTCACGTTGTGACCTATAGTTCGTGGAAAGCGAGATGTGAGATTCGCATGGACACACACACACACTTGCTCAATCACCTGTAGCCTCTGGCTGTGGAAGTGAAGCTCCTTCTAGGTAGGAGGTGACATCAGCAGGTGTCAGTGGGTTCATTCATTAGTGAGTAGTATTGCACTGCCACAGGTCCTGTAGCATGTCTGTTCACGGTCTTCAGTGGACAGTATAAGGCACAGTATGTGTTGGCATGTGGTCTGTGTGGCATAAGAGATGTAGTTTGAATGTACTGTATGTGTGATTGCATGGGAGTGTATGTGCATGTGTGTAACACCTCACAATGATGTATGGAGCAATGTGCTCAGAACATCCAGCTGCTTCGGCCATCATACACATCCCATCCCAACAACACACACACTTCCCATCCCAACGACACACACAGACACACCCCATCGCAACACACACACACACCCATGCCTGGCTTTGCCTCTGTGGGAACAAAGGGGACCCCATCCTGGTTGGGAGCTTCTGTGCTTACCACGGAATACCAGGATTTAAACTGGGAAAATGCTAACTCCACTCAAAGCACAGGGGATTAGTGACATGTCCCTCAACACATGGGCACCTGACTTTGTCTAAAGGTGGGGGGCAAAAAAATATATAATTAAAATAGTATAAACATTTAAAAACAATTTTCTGCAATTCTACACTATTTCTTTACAGGGGGAATCCATATTTATGAACAGAACACAACTAATTTTCTTTGGTCCTGCCAACAGTCCGCAATAATGCCTCATTTATCATAACCATTACAGAGAACAAATCCTAATTGAAAAATTGCCCTATATACTGTATATTCAGTCAATAACAAAACAAGTGTCACTTAATACCATAGTATCAACTGGTTATATTTTATCGGGAAACACAATCTTCAAAAAGGCAGTAAACTCAGCAGTGGCACTTGCTCATAGAAGCCTATGGCTGTGCAATGGCATAGCCTTGTTTTGTTAATTTAGCAGACAAGACACTCTTATTTCCCGAGCATTTATCACAGTCAAGGCACACCTATTTTATTGTAAAAAAACATGATATAATCTACAGGGGTGAAAGTAGATTTAATTTCTTCCCAGTACGGGACCTCCTATATATGCACACGTGTGCATCAATAACATTTATGGACCTAACAGTCCCGGCCCTGGGCGTTCTGCCGCCCTTGGCGAGACAAAAGTTGCCACCCCCCTCCTATCCCCACTGAACTAGAATAGTGTACAGCAGGGGTCAGCAATTATAACATATACGCTGGGAGTCAGGAAGCAGGTGCAGAAGGTGAGTTTAATCATAAGAAAAAGGCAGATAAACAAAACAGGAGAAGCGTACTGAATGTGACAAAACCAACACTGCCTGATGACTGAGGCTACTGAGGGCTAAATAAAGGGAGAGTAATCAAGGTGATGATGAGGTCCAGCTGTGTGTAATGATGGTTGCCAGACCAGTGATTAGTAGATCAGCGACGTCGAGCGCTGGAGCGGGGGAGCGGGAATTAGGCGTGGCAGTAATAGGTTTGCCAATTTTTTTCTCACCTAATAGTCAGCAGAACAGAACATAATAGCAGCCCAAATCATAGGTCTAAACACCATTTTTTACACATCTGGTTAGTAGGCTATATAATCAGTTCAATGTCAATGTCAATATCATATCCTAATATTTTCAATCTGATTACACTGATAAAATCACCAATGTCTCTATTAAATGAAAACCCAATATTTCTCCAATGTCAAACCAGAGTATCTTGTTTCCAACGAAACGGTTGCTGTTTGCAAAGCATGGTACTTTCAAAAATTACCTTTCCACCCAGACAGAGGCTCGACCGATGCAGAAAAACGTTTGCATCAACTGCCTGCTACTCATCCATTGCTTAACCCAACAACAAAAGTGCTTCCCTAAAAGCTGCCTGGGTTTAAACATCTTCTCTCTTCAGAAAGTAAAAAGCTAAATTAATAGGGACAGAATATCAAAGACAATTTTATGTCTCCTCCAATTTTGAAGGCTGCAGCTCAGCTTCAGAATGTCATAGAGACAAATCAATTTATCCCCATACGCATTAGAGTCACATCTTGTGTGGGCGTTTTAAAGCTTGTTTATAGCACAAGGCATCATGGAGTTATGCATTGTTATAGAACGCTTTATATTATCTGTATTCTTAAATATATATATATATATATAAAGTTAGCAATAGGTATCCATTTTTGCCATTTTCTTTACCAAAGTGTATGGCATACCCTCACTCAATTTGAGCCCTGGTTTTAACCGAACACACCAAGCCCTTCCCAGACATAGATGTATTTAAGGAGTGCATGGTGACAGTATTGGAAGATTTGGCAAAACCGACAAATCTATGGATAGCATAATTGCATCTGTCAAACAGGTAGGCCGACCTCTTAATTATTTTGAATAGGAAGAAATAGGCTCCAACAAAGCCCTCTTGTTGTTAGTTAAGTAGAATTTAAATGAAGACAATTGTTGAAATGTATTACTTTCAGCACCATTTGCTGTCCACCTCTGTTTGATTATGACACAGTCACTCCAAAGCCCGCTTGCCTTTTTAGTTGACTTTCTCCTGCATTCTCTCTCCTCATTAATCAGTTAATGATTGAAAAAGTGTCTGTCTCATGACATTGTAATACATTTGGTCTCCAGTCTATGGGCTACAAAAAACCCACATAGTGTACTACTCTTTCTACCATAGGCTACATACAGTGCCTTGCAAAAGTATTCATCCACCTTGGCGTTTTTCCTATATTGTTGCATTACTTCCTGTCATTTAAATGGATTTTTATTTGGATTTCATGTAATGGACATACACAAAATAGTCAAAATTCATGAAGTGAAATGAAAAAAATTACTTGTTTCAAAACAATTATAAGAAATACAATAACGGAAAAGTGGTGCGTGCATATGTATTCACCCCCTTTGCTATGAAGCCCCTAAATAAGATCTGGTGCAACCAATTACCTTCAGAAGTCACATAATTAGTTAGATTGCACACAGGTGGACTTTATTTAAGTGTCACTTGATCTCAGTATATATACACCTGTTCTGAAAGGCCCCAGAGTCTGCAACACCACTAAACAAGGGGCACCACCAAGCAAGCAGCATCATGAAGACCAAGGAGCTCTCCAAACAGGTCAGGGACAAAGTTGTGGAGAAGTACAGATCAGGGTTGGGTTATAGTAACAAATATCAGAAACTTTGAACATCCCACGGAGCACCATTAAATCCATTATTTAAAAAATGGAAAGAATATGGCACCACAACAAACCTGCCAAGAGAGGGCCGCCCACCAAACCTCACGGACCAGGCAAGGAGGGCATTAATCAGAGAGGCAACAAAGAGACTAAATATAACCCTGAAGGAGCTGCAAAGCACCACAGCGGAGATTGGAGTATCTGTCCATAGGACCACTTTAAGCCGTACACTATACAGAGCTGGGCTTTACGGAAGAGTGGCCAGAAAAAACCATTGCTTAAAGAAAAAAATTAGCAAACAGCAAAAGGCATGTGGGAGACTCCCCAAACATATGGAAGAAGGTACTCTGGTCAGATGAGACAAAAATTGAGCTTTTTGGCCATCAAGGAAAACTCTATGTCTGGCGCAAACCCAACACCTCTCATCACCCCGAGAACACCATGTTTTTCATCGGCAGGGACTGGGAAACTGGTCAGAATTGAAGGAATGATGGATGGCATTAAATACAGGAAAATTCTTGAGGGAAACCTGTTTCAGTCTTCCAGAGATTTGAGACTGGGACGGAGGTTCACCTTCCAGCAGGACAATGACCCTAAGCATACTGCTAAAGCAACACTCGAGTGGTTTAAGGGGAAACATTTAAATGTCTTGGAATGGCCTAGTCAAAGCCCAGACCTCTATCCAATTGAGAATCTGTGGTATGACTTAAAGATTGCTGTACACCAGCGGAACCCATCCAACTCTAAGGAGCTGGAGCAGTTTTGCCTTGAAGAATGGGCAAAAATCCCAGTGGCTAGATGTGCCAAGCTTATAGAGACGTACCCCAAGAGACTTGCAGCTGTAATTGCTGCAAAAGGTGGCTCTACAAAGTATTGACTTTGGGGGGGGGGGGGGGGGGGGGGGGGGGTGAATAGTTATGCACGCTCAAGTCTTTTTTTTGGGGTCTTATTTCTTCTTGTTTGTTTCACAAGAAAAAATCTTCTGCATCTTCAGAGTGGTAGGCATGTTGTGTAAATGAAATGATACAAACCCCCCCCAAAAATCAATTTTAATTCCAGGTTGTAAGGCAACAAAATAGGAAAAATGCCAAGGGGGATGAATACTTTCGCAAGCCACTGTAATTTATGTTTGGCTAAATGAATTTGATGGAGCATGGTGTAGCGCCAAAGCGCTGAGTCTCTCCAACAGCACCCTGGAGAAGCGCACTGGGCATGGAGCTAAATATTTTGCGCCCCTGCCTTTGGCAAAGTGGGCACTGCTTATCATGGGGCGGATTCAGCCTAAATAGCCGTCATGCCACTGGGTGAGAGAAGTTATCATTGTTTTTGAGCAGAATAATGTGAGGTGTTATGTGTTGTTGGAGGTGCGTCTTGGTCAGTTTAGGTCGGAAAATGCCGCCTTCGTCAAACTGCCGCACTTGGCGGCTGCCTAATCCAGCTATATGGGCGGATTACCTTTAATTGTGGCATAAACACAACCAGTCATGATGTTTCATCTGATTGTCAAACAATCACTTCAAAGGGCTCCTTTACTAGGCTACCCAGACACATTCATCCACTCACAACATATTTCTAGCCTCCAAACAGTGGTGAATTGAAAGAGACATTGTCAGCTTCCTGCTTCTCCTGTTTGTCTCCTGGCCTCTAGAGGTCAGCTGTGTTCCCCTCTGCCTTTGTTCTTCCTCATGTGTCCTCATTAGTTTGATCCAGGTCACCTGTGCCTTGTTTTCCCTTTAGTATTTTAGCTGTGTGTTTTCCCCTTGTTTCTCACTTGGTTATTGCGTCCTGACTATGTGTCTCCTGCTTTGTCCCACCGTGTCAGTCCTAGTAAGTTGTTCGAAGTTATCTTTAGTTTGTTTTTCTCCCCTCGTGGAGTTGTTTTGTTTTGCCTCCTGTTTTGGAACATTAAATCTA